TCGGTTAGGGTGTAACGGTTAGATACACTCCCACAGTAGTTGGATGTATTACACTATAATCTCTATTATCTCATTCCTTATGTCGGCGTCGGGTTCCACAGGTCGGGGTGGCAGCGAACTACCACGAGTTGTTATAACATTGGGGGCTTCGATCCGAGAAGGACTCCGCCTAGCCCGTGGTGAACTCGAGCCATTCTTGGTCAACGCCATTCTTCGACCCAGTGACACGTCTATTCCGACGAGTATCTCCGAGAAGATCCCTTTGGTGGATCTCGACGATGAAGTTTCGGAGGACGACCGACGTGCCCTGAGTGATCCACAGTGCGCTGTAGCTCTGTGGAGGGTGGTGCGAGACCAGCTGGTCGACATCGGCGAGGATGCGTTCATAGATGATTGTCCGACCTGGTTCAGCCCGGTTATGGCCTGGGTAGCTCGACACTATATCGAGCGAATGGCCAAACATATCGAGGATGGCAAAGATCTGTCCTTGAACCTCGAGGAAGTGCCCCGCCGGTCGGCTCTGAAGAGCATTATATCATCCGCCAAGAAGGACTCCAGTAATATTCAAGGCCGAGATCGCTCTTCTCTATCCCGAACGGCACTTCCACCGGTCTCTGTGGCTACCGTTCCCAGAACCACGGACTCGAGCTCTAGTGATTTGGAAACCGGGGGTTTCTCTAAATGGTCCAAGAAAGTCCGTGATGTCCATCTTCTCGTCGGAGCAACACCTTCCGGTGATATGTTATACAATGGTAACGCTCCCGCAGGCAGCTACATTCGATGGCGTACTCAAGTTCTCGACAAAGTGTCTGAGCATCCGGTAGAGGACGTCCGCATCGCGGCCATACTTCATTGTATCTCTGAACCTGAGAAGACCAAAGTCAAGCGTCAGCTCAGAACTCATCCTGTTGCAACTGCTGATGAACTGCTGTCCCGGCTTGACAAGGAGCACTTGACGGTCCCCGAGAAGGCGGCTCTGGTAAACCAATGGGTTGACGTGTGCCAACGGCCTGGCGAGTCGGCTTACTCCTATGTTCAGCGGTTTGAGGAACTAGTTCATCTACGATCCGTCACCCATCCTGAGCACGGCCAGCTGCACGATATGGACCTTCTCAGTATGCTCCGTCGAGGGTTCACGGATCCGATTTGTCGTGGTGCCCTGCCGCTCATCGATCCTACCGGTAAGATGAGTTACGATGGCTACAAGAACAGCGTGTTGGCATTCGTTAGTTCTTTGCCGCAGTCCGCTTCGTTGAGTGTCTCTCCTGGCCTCTCTGTGCCCGGGACCAACTGCGAGACCAGTACGTTCCGATCAAAACGAGATGAAAAGGCCGCTCGTCAAAAGCCTAAGGTCTCCGACGACAGTCCGATCTACTCCCATGTGCGATCTGCCATCACTCGTGAGCTTGGTATCGCTGATAAGGCTTGTCTGCGTTGCGGCAAGGAAGGTCATTTTGCCAGGGACTGCACCTCTACCAGTGTTTTCCGTTGGTCAGAGCGTTGTAAGACCTGTGGAGGACTCAGCACTGTCGGTGGTAAACCTCATCAGTGTAAGGTCTCCAAGCGGCGAGTTACTTGTACCTCATGCGGCCAGGGAGGGCATATGTGTAGTGTCTGTCCGACTGCCAAAACAGCCGGGGGCTCCGTCGCGTCCCACCAGACTGCTGCTCAACAGTTGTCGTCCCTCTTCCCCGTCTCCTCTGCCTCTTCCCAGACAGCTCGTGCGGAAGTCCATGCCGGTCAGTCCGTCTCGGTCCAGTTCCCGAAGCTCCCCGAGGTGTCTCTGCGTTTGGGTCATGACCATGTAAGAGCCTTCTGCGATACCCGGGCTCTGGTGGACTCCGGAGCCAATGCCAGTCTCATGCGGGACCATTTGGTGCAATATTTTGTTGACAACGGTATCATTCGTCCCGAGGATGTG